GGGAGAGACAGGCAAATCCTCCCCATACAGTGGTTAACACAGAGAAAAACAATTTTTAAGTTTAAAAACTAGTGTAAAATACTTGATCACCTGATAGGTATAAGCTTCTGAAAAATTAGGATGAGGCCTGATTTCATCAGCAGATTTCATCACAAAAATGGTTTAACAGAAGTCCAAATAGATTTTGCAATTTAAGTCCGAGCCACATGAAAGAAGAAAATGTTTCCAGCTCCATGATCGATCAGTTACTGGTTTCATGTTATAGCCAAGCTCTGACCGATAATCCCAGAGACCACACCGCCATAAAACATTTACAGTGAAGTAGCAAAGCCGACGGTGAGATGTGACATCCTCCAGGATTATCTATTACATATATTTAAAAAAAAAATCTACCTATTACGAAGCAGTTCCCTCGCTTTAAAAAAATAATTTTAAGTCTTATTTTTATTATTTACCCAGACATGTGTATGTGTCTTATGTGCACATGCCATGTATACATGGGGGTGGATGCTAGAAAAGAGGGGGTAACGCTCACCCCTGGTCTCCGACTGCATTACAGGCAGAAGTGAGCCACCTGATATGGATGCTGGGACCTGAACTCAGGACCTCTGGAAGAGCAGCAGGCGCTCTTAACCACCGAACCACCCCTCCAGCCCCCAGTTTCTTCACTTGTATCATGGGGAGGAGTTAGGAGGCCCCAGATCAAATAGCACTTTTGACATTACTCTGTTTCCAGTAGGGGAGTCACCGAGTGCTACCCGAGCTTTAAAGACGATGTTTGTGACTCCTGAAAGGGGCTTGTCCACAAAGGGGCAGTGGCAGAAGTGGGATGCTGAGCCAGTCATCTTGTTGGATGGGTTGTTAGGAAGTTGGATTGGCAACTGTCTTTTGAGAATGAAAACGACGACGAAGCGCTTACTGATGGAGTAAAAGGAAAGCAAGGCCTCAAAACTGACACTTAGGTTCAAGGAAGGCTTAGCCTGAGGAGAGGTTCCCTGGCAGGTTTGTGTGTGCACAGGAGGCTGCTGGTGGTGGTGCAGGTGTGTGGACATCTGTATGCATCTATGTGTGGGTGTGTATAAGCCAGGGGGCAACTCTGGGTGTCGCCCCTGAGGAGCCGTTCACTTTCTCTTCTTTGGGACAGGGTTTCTCAAGGGAACCTGCTTACCAACTGTTCTAGGCTGACTATCGGACGAGCCCCCAGGAATCCTCTCGTCTCTTGCCTCCCCTCCCCGGCACCAGTACAACAAATGAAAATATGCCATGGATGTTTCCGATGGAAGAAGGAACAGAGGGCACTTCCTAGTAGGAGGATGAAAACTGCACGTGCTGTTAGGTCCCCACCTGCTCCGAACGTGCCCTGACCTTTACTGATGGGCGGGGCTTCCCCCTCCCAGAGACCCCAGCTTCTATCGGTGACACCACAATCTTACTACTGGTCAAGCCTGCCAACTCACCCCACCCCCTTCTGTGCCCTTGTCCCTTCCCCAGTCTTTCTCCTCTCTGTCCTCTCCTCTTTTTCTCCTTCTTTCTCTCTGCCTGTGCTTCTCCCCCTCCGCATTTGTATAATATAGCTTCGCCTTGCCATTAGCTCATTCTGTTTTAATCAATCGTTAATGAGTTCATTTCTCTCTACACATTAAATATGTGTTTATGAGTTTGGGATTATAAATGACTGGTCTTTAAAGCTCACTCACCCTGGTCCCCTCCCCCCCACCCCCCGAACTCAGAGAAAACTTGGTACAAATTTCTCTCCAATTGCAAATTATCATTTCTCAAGGGCCTGATGCCAGCCATGCTATACTCAAAACCAATTTTTCTTAACATAGGTCACAGTCTTGATCAAAGTCAGAGTCCCTTTTGTGTGGTGCTAGGCAGGCTCCTGACCAGTCTGGTTTATTCCCACCCAGGGTGCCTATTCCAAAATTATAGACTGTTTGTGAAACACAACTAACAAATACACTATAATTCATACAGTTTTCTAACGCATCATAAAGGTCTAGAGTGTGCATTAGTAAAATGAGATTAAGCACAGCAATGGCTAATTCCATCAAATGCCACATTCATGCATACAGAAGGACCACAGAACTAAAACGAATTTCTTGGGACTCAAGATGGAGAGAAAGCCTAAAGCTGGGGACCACGAGGAAGCTGGGCAGGACTAGGCAGACCCAGAGCCAACAGATGGGAAGAGAAGTCATACAGGAAGAGTGGAAGCAGAAGAGAAGGGGGAAGAATGCAGGGGCCATAGAGTACTGAGTTCCAATAAAGAAGACAAGCCGGAAGCTACCATGGCTTGGGCTGTCCAACTTAAATTGCGGCGAGCGAGAGTCATTCTTAATTAGTTACTGTAAACCAAGGCCTGTCTTAAGGAGAAAGTGTGTCGTGACTGACCTACAAAGCTCCTTACACCAGAATGAATGTTAATAAAATGCCATTTTGCTCATTAAAGGAAATCTAACCCAATAATCTATAAGGCATCTTTTACTATGTACTTACTTCCTTTTAACATTTTAACTCTAAAAATAATTTGCATACATGGGGGACAACACTGTACAGACGCTAGTACTAAAAATCAATAGTCTAATCAATTATCCTAGCCATAATGTTAACTAAAAAAAAAATTTTTTTGGCCCAAATCTTTATCATTATTGCGGAGTACTTGCTCTTTGAATCTCTCGCCTTGTTTTTGGGATCACCTTATTATGCAACATCTGCTCTGAATTTCAAATGTGATAAACAGTATGAGTGTTGGTGGCAGATGGCTAATGACCAGCAGTGACAGGGCATTCAAGCCTGCCTTGTTTTCTGAGAAGCGATATTTTCATGTTAATTTGTTCTGTGTCCTGCAAAGATAGGACAAATCACCTGCTGTAATTCGGGCAAAGTGGAGACCACCGGGAGCTGCGAGGGGAGGGGCCGGGGTTTGGTTCCTTTAAGAGCAGAAGAGGAAGATCTGGGAGACTCATTTGCAGCACAGGGGACCAGTCACTTTGCATTATGTCAAGCAGAGAAGGATGACTCAGCCTCGGGCATTCCAGCCTGACATCAGAGCCACGTTTACTGCAAGCAGATATTAGTCACGAAAACAGATATTTCCCAGAGGCAGAAAACAGGTGCTATCAACAGTGTGTGTTGGTCTCTGAAGCCTGGGTTCTGTAAAATAAACCTAATAGTACATTTTATCTCTTGCTGAAAACAGTAAGACCAACAGAATCTACACATAACATTCAACTGAAGATAAAAAGAAATCTAATCCAGTGAGAAAATTACAGATATAAACTCTGAGCTTAGGTTCTTTTTTTTCCTCTCTCTCTCTCTCTCTCTCTCTCTCTCTCTCTCTCTCTCTCTCCAGCTCCATAGAATTCATTTATGATGGAGACACAAGGACATAATTTTTATCCCAGGACTCCATGAGTTCATATGGTGTTGAGCTCAAAATACCCTGCCCTGTGTTAAAAAGGCCACTTGCCTGTGTGCTTTATTCTCATGAAACAATATTCTCCATTTCACTAAGTATGTCGCATGGGCTCAGTAACTACAAAGTAACATTCGCTATGTTTTCAAAAAGTTTGTAAGTTAGTGGGGACACTGACCGGATCCTAAGAGAGTTGACACACAGGCAAGCGCAAATGTCCAAGTGGGTCAGCAAGAGGGCAGGCATCTTGAAGGCCTGCTCTGGGAAAGAATACCTCACAAGGAGTCTCTCTCCCCGACACCCTGCCATATGGCTCCCTTTACCACGGATGACTAAGGAATACGGAGAACGGACTGACTCTTTGACACTCCTTCTGGCTCCCTTGTAATTTAGTGGCAGATGGACACAAGGAGGTGACAAGTAAAGGTAGAACTCAACACCACAGCTACACAGATTTAAAGACAACAGTCTGAATTAAAGAGAGAAAAGCCAGCCATGCCAACAAGGTCACACAAGACTGTCATCTTTATGGTAGAGCAGTCAACAGGCTCTTCTATGCAAATGTCATCAGACAAGAACAGATGGACCTACAGAACATCAGGCAAACCTTCAAGGTGAGGGTTATACATTATTATTTTTGACTGCAAACATTTTAACTAGAAATTTTTACTTTAAAAAATGTTGGAAAAAGTCTCTTACTGTTTTCATTATTATTATTAATATTCATTATTATTATTATATTACAGCTTTTAAGAGACAATGTTTAGCTCAGGCATAGCCTGTGAATTACGTTATTAATTACTTTAATAACGTAATTCACAGCCATGAACTGATGGCAGGATGTCTTCCACAAACTGACCTAAATATCAACCTGCACACCTACATAAAGCTTCGTAATTTTTTATTTTCCCAAACAAATCTTTGAGACATGCACAGATTGAATACATGAACTGGAAAATGAAGTTAAGGAGAATAACAGGTACCACCATTAAAATGTTTTCTTCCCATTAGACTTAAAGAAAGAAAGAATTTGTTTGTAGTCAATATGCCTCCCAGCTTGCTGACCACAAAGGGCAGAAGGCATGTCTTAAACATCGTTCAATTCCAAGACTAAAACAAAAATCAAAACAGGAAGGTCCAAATGACCATTCATATTTGCATAATACCTACATGCCTCAAAATCAGCATAATTACAATGTATAATGTGTTTCTGAGTGACATTTAAAATTATATCTCTTAAAGACCGAGAACCACCAGTATAGAGTGAGCTATTGCTATTACATTATACTTTATAAGATTAAGACCTGATAATATACAAATAAGTAGTTTTAAAGAATTTTAATTTGCAACTTTAACTGACCCTAAAATTAAACTAAACTACAACTCCACTCTTTGAAGATCCCAGTTGGTAGATGGAATAGATTATTTTCCATCCTTTAAAGATTTTACCTAGTTGACATTCTGAATCATATATTAACTTTCAAAAACACCAATTCTGGCAATTTCACAAGGAAAGAATTCTGGTTTCCCCCAGGCTGTAAGAGTGGCTAGTCTGACCAGGCAATCTGAGGCTTTTTGGTACCTTTATGGTTTCTGAGGGTACTCCAGGCTCTGGGACTTTATCCAAGTAAGTGGTCAGGTCTTGATCAACATGCTCAAACACTAGTGTCAGTTTCGTTTCTCTGTCTGTCCGTGACACTGTGCATACATCAAACAACCTAGAAGGAGAAAAAACAAAAACAAAGACAGAATGAGTAGGTGGAAATAAGCCAACCAGTAGCTATTCGTCATACCTGGATTCCACCACACAGTTGGGGGCGCTCCTTGTGATCATATCTAAAGGGATCTGATGGGATCCGCTCTTTCTTTACCCATACCAAAGGTCATCAGAGGGGCTGTGTGAGCCAGGCCATCCAAGTGGCAGTCACAAAAGCAACATGACTTTGCCCAGGGTATCCAAACTAATTAAGAATCTGTTGATGGAAATAGCTTTAAAAACCTGTAATCCAGGCAAAATAATTCTAACAATTCTTAGCTCACAGGTTGAGCAATATCAGAGGCCAGCTGAGCATGCTTTGGAGACAGTAGACTGTGCAGAAGTTTCCTAGAACAGCCGCGGCTGTGGCAGCCACCTGGACGGACTACGGAGAAACATTTCGAAGACAGATTTCTCATCCCAGTGAGACAAATTATTGCCCTAGAAATGGCATGCATTCTTAGTTTTAACATCCCAAATCTCCCGTAGAATTACCAGTGTAAAAAAATTTAAGGCTGAAGAAAAAAATTAACCAACAGAAAATAACTGTACGTATTCATCAGATAACCATGCGGAATTTTGATACATAGGGGGGACTAGTATATGGAACAGTGACTATAACAAATAATGCACTACGTACACTCCAAAACTTCCCAAAGTATGGATTTCAAATGCTTACAGGCTAAGAATATAATAAGATGGGCCTGCTAGATAACTTGGTTATTATGCCAACACTGTGAAATGTGAAAGGGGGAACACACTGGAAAAGTAATTAAAACGAGGGTGAACAGATATTACAGAAAGAGCCTTCCGCGATCCAGAGAACCTTCCAGCCCAAGGACAAATGTGCTTTAGTTAAGCGCACTACGTCACGCACGGCAGTCTCACCAAGTCGTCTGAAGAACTAAAACCTTCCAAAATTAAGCGGTAAGGAAACTTGAGATGAACGTAACATAAATAGTAAGAGGAGATGTATAAAATGCTATTCGTCTGATGTTTTCATTTAAAAATCTAAAAACATAAATTGTGTGTACACAGTCCGCTCGCCACACTTGGGCTCACTACACTGGCTCAATCTCGATGCACTTCTGTCAAATTTTCAAGGCCTAGTTAGTTTAACAGGGCCACGTCCCTGTGTTTCTGGGGTCCTTGGGCTTCAAGCTTGGTATTTCTTTCTGAATCTACACAAAATTTTAGCAACATCTACAGGACACTATAGTCAATCTTAATCTGTAATAAACTGTACAAAGCCCACACTATGAAAGGCTTGCTATAATGCACAGTTTAACATTTGGGGAGTCTGAGAAAATTGCTCTCTGAACTTGGTAGTTAGACTATTTGCACACAATCTGCTTTGAGCTACCTTATTACTCTTAGCAACTTCTTTCAACTACTTCTTCTCAAAGGAAAGAGTTGCAAAATCAGAAAGCTCCTTTGCATCTGTTGTTTCTGTATTTGCAATAAAACTGTAATAAACCAAAAATGGGATGTAGTGAAATCAAATAAAAACACTACATGTCCATTACAATTGAGCTTCTCAAGCATGACTTTAAAAACTGAAAATTAATTTAAAATTAATTAATTAAAATAATTATATTATTTTTATATTAATTAGTTTATTCACTTTGTATCCCAGTTGTAGCCCTTCCCTCATTCCCTCCCAATCCCACTCTCCCTCCCTCATCTCCTCCCAAGCCCCTTTCCAAGTCCACTGATAGGTGAGGTCCTCCTCCCCTTCCATCTGACCCTAGCTTATCAGGTCTCATCAGGACTGGCTCCATTATCTTCCCCTGTGGCCTGGTAAGACTGCTCCCCTCTCAGGGGAAAGTGGTCACAAGAGCCAGCCACTGAGTTCATGTCAGAGACAGTCCCTGTTCCCATTACTAGGGCACTCACTTGGATACTGAGCTGCCATGGGCTACATCTGAGTAGGGGTTCTAGGTTATCTCCATGAATGATCCTTGGTTGGAGTATCAGTCTCAGAAAAGACTCCTGTGTCCAGATATTTTGTTTCTGTTGCTCTCCTTGTGGAGCTCCTGTCTCCTCCAGGTCTTACTATCTCCCCCTTCTTTCATAAGATTCCCTGCACTCTGCCCAAAGTTTGTTTATGAGTCTCAGCATCTGCTTCAACACACTGCTGGGTAGAGTCTTTCAGAGGCCCTCTGTGGTAGGCTCCTGTCTGATACTCCTTAATGAAGAGTGTGCTGCTTGTCACTTGCCAGAGTTTTTGAGCAGCTCTAGTTCTTATTAAAGGGTATCTCCCCCATATATATACCCTGTGTGTGTGTGTCTGTCCGTGTTGGCTGTTACTAATATGATGGGGACATAACACAGTTGAACCAAGAGGCCACCTGTTCCCCAAACCGTTGTCTTAGAGATTACCTAACAGCTCTGGCAGTAGGCAGTGTTGCTGCATCTCATCGAAACCGTTTCAAGACTCTTGTATGACACAATCTATGAATCACATTTAACCACCCAAGCTGCTCTTCGTTATGTAATACCTCGCTCTTCAAATTATTAATATCCGCTAAATGTCACCTAAGGTAACTTGGCTCTACACTCAGGGAAGAAGACAGGGAGGTGAGCTCGACAAAGTCACTGCTAATTGCCTTAAATGAGAAATCAGGGCGGGGGGAGAACTGTAATGAATTTAAAAAGATGAGTGGCAGTGCATTTAGCAGAATAGTATTTTAGTTCATGTGTGTTAAGTATTTCGCCTGCCTGTACACACACACACACACACACACACACACACACACACACACACACACACGATACAAGTGTACTTGGTGTCTCTGGAGGTAGAAGGCTTCAGGTCCCCTTGAACTAGAGTTACAGATGATTGTGAGCCAGCCTATGGGTGCTAGGAACTGAATCCATGTCCTCCCCAAGAGCAACAAATGCTCTTAACTGCTGAGCCGTCTCTCCGGCCCCTACTGTAGGTGGGTTCTTATGCATGTACTTACACACTGTTAGCTCTAGGAAGGGAGGTGCTAGGGTAGAAGTTGCTCATCTGGGTTCAAGGAGATACAACTTTTAAATTTTAGGTGTTACTGTTAATTCAGAAAGCAGAGGATACAACAGTCTCCTTAGAAATTCACACTTCACATCAAGGAAATAAGCAACACACTCCGGGCTCCGAGGCTCCAGTGCACGCCATCAGCAGTTATAGGTGGACTTACTTCCAAGGAAATATTTAGGGAAATACTGCTCCTCCCTATAACATAAAGCTGCTTTAACTGTTCAGTTACATATAATACAAATATACAGAATGAAACATTATACCAAAAGTTAATAGTTGTATTAATTGTAATGGATACAAAATACATTTTGAGCCAACTGTTGTGAATATTAATTTTGGAAATTTTAGATCATAATACCAGTGATATCTTTTTATCTATGGCTCCGTCTAAAATTATTCCAAATCAAAGTGTCATTTTGGTAGGCCAAACATAACAGATATTTCAATACAGTAAGTTCCACAGAACCCAATTCAAATAAAACACGGTCTTTGGTATTTGGCTGAATGATAACTACAATCTATTTATATACAGCAATGGGGGATGTCACCAAGCTGCCTGTATCCTCTGGACTTGCAAAAGAAAAGAGCAAGACGGGTCAGACCACTTGAACATAAAAGCTGAGAAATAACTTCCACTGTATGATCTCTTATGTTGGCTGACATTTATGACTTTCTGAAATATTTAAGCTGACAAAAATACCATTTCAATGACCGCATGATTACATTTCCATAGGAAGGCTGTAACCATGCTGTACGAACCAGGCGCAAATAAACAATGACTCTCTGATGACCTTCAGAGGGAAATCACCATTCAGCATTCATCACAGGCTCACACCATCTGATCTGAGCGAACAGCCATTCAAAGAATGGAAACACGGAGCTGGGGATCTGGGCCAACAGTCGAGAGTGTGCTCACTGCTCCACCACAAGCTCCAGATTTGGTTCTCAGCACTCACGTGGCAGCTCACAACTGCCTAAAATTCCAGCTCCAGATCTGACACCCTCTCCTGGCCCATAAGGGCTCCTGCACACACATGGTGCATATACGCTCATGGAGGCACACACACACACACACACACATAAATAATAAATCGTTTTAGAGAGTGGAAGAGAAGCGGCTCTCAGTACTTACTGAGGCTGTGCACCCAAGTCTAGCAGAGTGAACCCAATCCAAAAAAATACAGGTGGTTACCCTTTCATAGTGAAGCCAGACAACCCCTAACTATGCTACCCTGTGAGTCCAGTCTGCACAACACTCGGTTTTCCTGCTGTCCTGGTGATGCGATGATAATCTAACAAACAGTCCCTGAATTAACTCTGCACCCTACCCACTGTAACTCCTAATGGCGGCTTCCTGTTCACAGTCTCAATCGAATTCACTGCTCAGAAGCTAGTGCAAGGCAAGCTGCCGTCAGCTCATGGATGGGATTGCATCCAGCAGGTCCGGAATTTCCAAAGTTTACAATTTACAAATGTCTCCCAAACAACTGAGTTCTGTAAACACAACCTCTGCCTTTCTATTGTGGTTCTAAGAAAAGGGAAATCTGTATTATTTGCTGTGATTATACCAGGACCCGAAGCAGGAAGTTCTAAGAGGACTTTTTTTCCTGTCAGGTTTCCCTGACCCCCACACGCTCTTCATTGTTTGGATACCAAGCAGCTTGAGAGCCGAGTGCTGTCTGTCACAGCGGCCTAAGGGACATAACAAATTCTGATTTGAACTAGAGCCAGTACTCGGGATTGAGAACGTTTTTCTCCCCGTATCTAATCGTGGAAGTCCATGCCCACTTTTGGTGGGTACGACTTGTGCATAGTCACTGCTCACTCGTGCACCTAGCCCCACACTGCTATTCTCACGCATGAAACACAGGCTGGGGAGGTGATGCCTCGCTGGCGACAGGAGAGGCCAAACTCCACAAGTATGTGCCACCAACGGCAAT